ATATACTAATCCAATAAGTATTAAGATTGTAATTTCCAGAAAAAATATTGTAATATAATAATCATTCAATTAATATTATAATAATTATCAAAAGGTATAAGGTATATAAGGTATTTGCTTTCAATAAATAGATTTAATAATTACTTTCCTAATATCTGATATCTTTATTATAAATTTCTGTCTTAGTTTTATTCCAATCCAGTAATAAATTAGTTTGGTAATACTTATTTTAAGAAGGCATCCGGCAATAAAACCCACTTTATAAAAGTTATGTATGTTACTAGTCAAGCAGTAAAAACTAATCATAAGTCTATCTTAAATATTCTTAAGTATTATTTGAACAAATAAGAAATTAAATGGTTAATCCAGCTGCAAATAATAATAAAGAGATTTATTTCCAATAAAGCAAATAAGAATTATATAGTTTTATTTACTATAGATATTATTCTTAGTATTCTCTTTTATCTTCACTTATTTTTTCTCTAATAAAATAATGCTTAAAGTTACTAATGAAAATGTATACTACTGATCTAATAAAGAAATTTCTTTGTTGTTTTTTTTTTTTGTAAGTAAATATTGTTACTTTATTAATTATAAAAAATTCAGATTTTCTATATAACAAAAGTACTAACATTTCTTATATAACATATTAAGTTAATAAGTTTAATGCTAACTTGTTTACATTAATCTACTATATAGTAAAGAAAAATAAATATTAAAACTACTTTTCTTCATAAAAAGTGCCAAGTAGCTATAAATACCTACTTAGAGTTATTAGTAATAAGTTGATTAAAATTAAAAATTAAATTTTTTAAATATAATAACAAATTAAAATTACTATTTATAAATTCATCTATAATGATAAATTGAAGATCTATAGTTGTGTCTTTTAATTTTGAGTTAGAATTTAAAAATTGACAAGAGTAACTATAAGACGTGATTGAAGAGTTCTTATAAGATTGATAGAGATCCTGATTCCAGATTATATCTGTAAAGAGCAAGGTGTTTGTTGTATTGCACCTTGGTTTCCATATAAGATTGTAAAGAAAAATGAATGTTTCTAAAGTTACTTTTATTCAATAATCAATATCAGTTATATCAAAAATCTTGTTGATAACTTTACAAGACAATTTGACTATCTACCAAATATGATAAACTGGAGTATTATTTTTATTAAGGCAAATTATATTATTTATCATATTGATAATTTGAATTGTTTGCTCTTCTACTTTAATGCACTTAAATATATGTCTTATGTTTTCAATTTTAAGTTTATATCTTGGACAGAAGTAATCTGGATATTGTTCTGAATATAGTTGATTAAGAAAGATTCAAGTTGGAAGGGTTTCTAAAAGGAGTTTGATTTTAAAGAATATTAAATTACTGTAGAAGTTGTTTTTTTGATTTCTGAGACATTTGAAAGATTTAGTAAACACTTCAAGGTAGGATTCCAAAAAGTACTGAACTGGTATCGAACTGGTATTGAAATGGTATCAATCTATAGTAAATTTAATATATGGATTGTGACCTACTCATATGTTTTTATAATAAATTTAAGTATTGAAATAGTATTGAAATGGTATCAAAGTGATATCGTTAGAACCTCTACTTCAAGGCCATAAGAGCTGAAAGTTTCTTCAAAAATTTTCACTATTGATATGCTTTTGCATATTATATAGATCTTGATTAATCTTAAAATTTTCTTTGACTATATAATACTGCTATCCAGATTGCTATTGTTTATTCTTGGATTTTTGAGAAAGTGTGGTAGTAAGATATTCCAATATATGGTATTGTCAGTTTTGAATTTTGATTTTGGTTTAGTAAATAAGAGAAAAATTGACTTTTGAGAACTTAAGTTGTTAATTCTTGAAGTAATAGAAGAGTAGTTATATTTGATTATTCTTCTTGAGTTGTTTCAAATTTCTTGGATGATTTTTCTGTTGTTTCTAATTTCGATAGTTGCTGAGTTTTGATACTATTGAATAATATTATAAATAGTTAAGAGAATATTAAAGGTTAATGTGTTAGACTGGAGTATAATAAAGTAATTGTTAATTACAATATCATTTTTGTAAGCTTGAATTGAGTAGAAATATAATTGATCCAGTTCTATTAATTGAGATAATGTTAGTAAGTTAGATTGAAGATATATGTATTGAAATAGTTTTTCTTGAGCTTGAGAAGTATTTAGAACTTCTTCTAGTAAATTATTAAGATGAAATTTTGATATGGGAAAACTTTATATAGATACCCAAAGAAATAATAGAAATGAGCTGATGAAAAAAATACAGCAAAAGATATTATGAGAAATGTCTAATGGACAGCCTGGGCACTTAATTAGATTGTTAAATTGGTCTAAAAGGTGATGTTTACCTTTAAGTAATATGTTTTTCCTAATTTCAGATGTTTTTTTATAGGTTTTAACTATAACTCAATTTGGATTAACAATTTAGAAAAGAGATCTTGGATTGAAAATTGAACTATAGAATTTTCTGAGATTTGAAAAGTTGATAAAATTTTTAAATCAACTAAATTCTAGTTTACATTTTGTGATTCCTGTGTGAGACATAAGTTGATGCCAAGTGAGCTTGATAGTACTGTTAAATTTAAGAAGCTGGTTAATAAATTTGATATTTAATACATTTGCTATATAGATAATTGTTCTTTTGTAAGGTTTTTCAAAGTTTTTGAAGAGTAGACCTATTGAGTTTTGAGCATTGTCAAAATGGAAGAGAAATAATGCTAGGCATATTTGGATTTTAAAACCTTTTGCTACAATTGCTGTATTCAAAATCCAATTGTTTTAATTGAATTTTTCTGGATTGTACAGTAGATAAAATCAGATTGTTTCCTTTTTTTGAATTGACCTGATGTCTTGATAAATATATTTGTTGATCAATGGAATTACGAATTTAGTTATTAAGTTATTAATTAACAAAATCTTTGTTTTTTTTCAAGCAGAAAAATCTTCAATTTCCTTTGCTAGTTAAGATCATATTAATACATTTTGAAGAGATTCTGTAAGTATATTTGATAAGTCTGTTGATCTTTCTTTGGAGATTGTTAAGCAAAGTTTTATAGAAATAAGATGTTAAAAGGAAGTATTTAAATTTTCCAAGAACTATTTACTTGGTTATTTTCTGTAAGATCTCTCTTTTCCACTTCTGATGTGTAAGTTCTTTCAAGATTTTATTGGTTGTTTTCTTGAAACTCTTTCTATTTGCTCTTAGCATATTGAGAGGGGAGATTTAAATATTCAGATATCTTAAGCTTTTATATAACTTGAAAACTTGAATAGAGTAATTGTCAAATAAGATATGTCAAGGTGAATAGTTTTTGATTAGAATATTGTTAATTACTTTGATTTTGTCTTTGTTGCAGAATAAGTTATTAATTTTAAAAAATTGGTTTTCCATTTTTAGGAAATTCTCTAGTTGGGCTTAGAGTTTGCAATAAGTGCAAGATTGTTTATATATGCTAGAGTATTGGAACCAAATAGTTATTAATTTTGGGATATTTAGATAACTTGATAATAAGTAGGTTGTAGAAAATCACCTATATGATTAAAGATAATATTTCTTCTTGTTCTATACTATTGTTAACTAGAAAGAAGTTTGTTGGACTGGATGGAGTGTTGATAAATACTTTCTCTATAGAAAATACATTAATGACCAGTTTGATTAGTTTGTTTAGACAATTGATTCTTTCAAAAGACTTTTGAATTGCTGATATAGAAACTGAATCAAAAGCTTTTGCGATGTCCAGAAACGCAAATCAAAATTTCTTATTGTTAACATTGGCTGCTTGAATAGCAGAGTTGACAATGGTTAATAGTTCCATAATACTTTGTTCAGGAAGTCCTGCAAAGTTGAAATCAGATAAAATTCAATTTTGCTTTAAGATTTTGATAAGTCTTTTGTTAATTAATTCTGTAAAAAGTTTTCTTGTTAAATTTACAAAAAATATAGGTCTGGTGTTATTCAAGTTGTAACTTTAGACTAGTTTTTTGAAAATTAGAGTAGTAACACTATGTTTTCACAAGTTAATAATAAAGGATAATTGGATGATAGTATTAAAGATATTGCATAGTGAAGTAATAGCATTTTTCTTCAAAAGCTTAATAATTTCATAACTAATTTCTGATCTTTCTAATATTTTGTTCTTAAGAAGATTTCTAATAGTTTCATTGAGGGTTGTGGAATCAATTGTTAAAAGTATCTCTTTATAAAGTTCTTGGTCAATTAAGAGGAAATTGTATACATTCTGCCAGCTAGGAAAATTTGATGGATTAAATGATATTTGATACAATATTTTTGAAATAATTTGTAATTATGTTTTTGACAAGATCTGAATCATTTTCTATTTGTCCCTCAGTGTTAAAAACTTGAAAAAGATCGATTTTGGATTTTGTTTTGTCCAGAGCTTTATTGATGTAGCTTCTTGATTTAGTGTAGAAGTTTTTTACCATAGTTTCGAGATTTTGATGATATTCTTCCATTTTTTCTTGATAGACTTGCAGCAAGTCTTCTTTGATCAACAGCCCTTTTAGTTTTGCAAGGTCTTTTAGAGACATGCTTGATAATTTATTTGCATTAAGATATAGAGCCAATAAATTGTTATCAAGAAAGGAAGAATGTCTGTTTTTTTTAATATCAATTATACTCTTAATTTTTTTTGTTTGGGATTTTAACAGTTTTTTTGCTTTGGTACGTTAACTCTTTTTTGAAATATTTACTCTGGTTCTTTTGATAAATTTGTTCATTGAGAACTTGATAAAATTCTCAATTTCATTCAGGAGATAGGAGAAACAGTACTGAGTTATAAGTCTATATTTTTGGAAAAATTGACTAGATTTTTTTTAGTTGTCTTATCAATATTAAACTTAAAGATTGATTTAGCCTTCTTGAATTCAAATCAATTTAGTTTGATAGAGACAGAACAGTAATCTATTGGGATGATATCACATTTACTGACTTTATATCAGATAACTTTAGATGCTAGGTTTTGAGATACCCAGATTTGCGATACACTTGAGAAAGTGAAGTGTGTAAAGATTTCTTTGTTAAAGTATTGGCCAATATTCACATAGTTGTAAAAATAATTATAGATTGTTCATTTATATAAAGAAGTAAAGGCATCAATAAATAGAACTTCTTTTGGAAAGAAATTGAAGTTATTAAGAATAATGTAATGTAGCTTGAGAATGCTGGCCATTTTGATAGATTGTTGTACATAATTTACTATTAATTTTTTTTCTTTTTTGTCATGTGGAAGATAGATTCCAGTTATAAGATTATTGGTCTTGCCTTTAAATTTCAGAATTACAGAGAAGCAAAATTTTGATGTTTCTACTATTTTGAATACATGAGAAAAAAGAGCTTTTCCTATAATAATAGTGGTTTCATTTTTTGCTAAGAATGAATTACATAAATAATAAAACCTGCCATGGATATTTTTTAAATGGAATTTGTTTTTTTTTTAATTTGATCTCTGTGCAGAACATTATCATTCTGTTACTGACTGAGTTGAAGAGGATCTATAATTTAGTGAAATTGTTAAGTCCTCTTGTATTAATTGTAATTAAGGAATAAGGTCTTGAATATTGTGAGAAGAAATTGAATTGTGACTAGTATAATTGATAATCTGATGTAATTGGGGTGAAATAAAATCAAGAGTATTGATTATAGTAAAAGTGTTGCTGAAAAAATTGGTGAGTTGAGGTTAGTGAATTGTGTTTAGATATTAGATAAGTGGTTGATATACAAGAGGTTATTGGTAGTAGTTCTGATGACAATATTGTGATTTGAAATTATAAACATTAAATTAAGAGAAAATAAGATCAAACTTAGGTTCTAAAAGTTTTTCTATAGTAATAAAAGACTCAAACAGTCTTTTAAATTTGAAAATTTTGCAAAATTCAAATATGTTGGTTGAAAGAGAATAATCATCTGACAGAGGAATAGCAAAGTTATAAACATCATTTTCTTTCAGGATGCAATTAATGTTTTGGGGATCTTTAGATAATGAAATAAAAGAAATATCAAACCATAATTTGAGAATTCTTTGGAATTCGTAAAAACTATAAAGAGTTTTAATTGTACTTCTTAGATTTTGATCTTTGGAAATGAATTTATTAATGCCTAAAGATAAATTTAAATCTAAAATATTTCTTGATAACTATGATTTGTTTGTTTGAGAAACTTCTGAGAGAATCCATAATGGCCCCAAGGATAAATAGAGTAAGAAGTTTTCTTTAAATACATTAATAAGAGTTTGAACATTCTATTATATATCAGCAGGAATTTTGAAAGTAATACTTGTAAGCTTATTAAGAATTGATAATAGTTGTATGGAAGAGGTTTTTTTGAAGAAAAAATTTGAAGAGAGCTATGTAAAAAGGTATTTGATCCCAAGATTTCTAATTATTGCTCCAAGATTTTATTTGTAAGAATCTAAGGGGAACAAATATACAAATTCTGGTACTAGTTCTTCTGAAAAGAAGGACAGAAAAATTTTTGGTAAAAAAAGATTGAAGTAAGATTCAGAAAGTTTAGGAGAAATGGTAAAATGTTTTTTTAGTTTACCAATTAGTCTGCCAAAATTTCTTAGATCACTTTTTTTTGTAAGAAGGAAGAGATTTAAAAGAAATTCTGATAAACTTGTTGAATCTTCTGGAAGAGAGGAAAGTATTTCAAAGTATAATTCTGGAAAAAGTCTAAATTTGTAAAAGGAATGCAATGATCTTGCTACTTCAGCTATAGTGCTTCTATATTTAATAGGAATTCCATAAGAAATTTTTGCTTTGGTTTTAGATAGAATTAATTTTCAATTATTTGGATAGATTATCCTGAAACAGTTTCTTGCACAATAAATAAGTTTGAAATGAATTCAAATCATTTAAGTTTATAGGACGGTAAAAGTAGTTGCTGTTAAAATTCAAGATTTGAGCTAGAAGAAATAGTGTAAGCTTAAAGATGTTGATGTACTGAATATATGCAATAAGGGAGCAAGCATTTAGAAGTAGCTTGATTTTGAATCTTGTTTTCTGATTAAAGTATGATATTTTGTTCTTCTCTTTATAATTGTTCTGGAAGCTTTTTTTTATTACTTTATACTCTTTTTAATGATCCCTTTTGAGCTTGTGCAATCTGCAAAAGAGTCTAAAGAATTTTCTGTCTCTAGCTTCAAATTCAATAAAAATAGCAAGATATGGTTTTTGTCTAAAGTTTTCTTTGGGTGTTTTGTAAATGTCAAGAATAAGATTGATAAGTTCTTATGGTTTGCTTCTAATTAATAACAGTTTAGAGGCCCATTGTAACATTTGATGATGGTCATTTGAAATTTCTAGTAATAGAATATTATTGTCATCTAGTTTGCTGTCATATTCACAATTAAGAAAGCTATAAAATTTAATATTTATTGATTTTAATGACTAGTTATTTTCATATTCAAAAAGTCTGGCTTTGGCTTAGTCTTCTCTAAATTTATAGATATTTTTCCTATTGAAGTCTATTATATAAATATCTGAATATATAACACTTGTTAAGTTGAACAAGTTATGCAGAAAAAAACTTTGAATAATAGAAGATAAAGGTCTAATGAGAGATAAGGAGGATCTGTTCAGTTCTTTGGAATAATTATATTTGAAGAGCTAATGAATTGGGAGGAGAGTTATTGTTAACTTTTAAGATTGAGTAGAAACTAATAAAGATTTTCATATCTAGGTCACTTGGTATAAGAAAGTTTAAGTTAATTAACATGGATAAGCTGTTAAGATTATCTATATCGAGCTGTGGTAATATTTGATTGAGTAATGATAAGGTTCTTTGTAATTGGTTAGAGTTCATAGCTAAAATGAATAATTCTAATTGGACTGGTAATATGAAGATCCAAGTTGATATAATATCTATGGAATTGAGAGTTTAAATAGGAGTAAATTGATTTGTTGTGCTTAGTTAAAAGCTTGCTCTTAATTGTATAGTTTATTTTTTTCACTGACTTTTCTTTCAATATTAACCATATTCCAAGGAATATATTTGGAATAGTTCTAGCCTTTGCTGAAAACACTGTTCAAGACTTTTTCTCTAAGGTACTCATTTCTTGAAAAGATTTTTTTAAAAGAATCCTGGAAGCTTAAGAACTTATTCAAGTGAGTGACAAGTTTGATTTTTGGAGTAGTAGCTTGAATTTGAAGGCTGTTTTGATTTTTGACTGAAAAGTCGATCTGAATAACAGAGAGATTTAAAGAATTGAAATGTGTCAAGTTTTGCATAGGAATGAACTATTTGAAAAGATAGTTTGATAGTAATGAAAGTTGACAGATTATGTAATGACTATGTTATTATTCTTGTCTATATACTGTATATTAGTGTAAAGAGTTGTTTCCTTCTTTTTACAAGAATAATATTTAATAGAGTAGAATTAGTTAATACATGGTAAGGTTCTAATATTGATAGGACTTAAAGTGAATCAGATAAAGTATTAACTGGAAGCTGGAAGAATTAATTTGTTAATATTTTGTGAGGTATGGAAAAAGTGAATAGTATATATAATAGTTTTTCTAGTATATTATACTGGTAATAAATTGCAAGTATGCTTATTGATAATTAACATGTTGATAGTAATAATAGGTTATTGATGTGTTTGTAATGGTATTAGATTGTTAACATGTTTATGATGTTAATAAGTTATTAATATGTCTGTTATTGGAAAGGTATTAATATATTATTGTGATGGTAATATTAACTTGTTTGTATTGTTAATATTATTGTATTATTGACATAATGGTAATGTTAATTTGTTTATATTGTTGATATAATTGTATTATTAACGTATTAACATGTTAGTGTTGTTTATTTGCTTGTATTGTTAACGTGTTTATACTCTGATTTATAATGTAGATCACTTGATGAGAGTAAGTTAATTCTGGTTTTTTCAGGTTAAATAGATTTTTTTTCTATATAACTTGAATAATTAATATGGTTAAGTTTATTGTTTATTTGTTTTTTAAATTTTTTTGATCTGGATTCCTTTAAAGAAAGTTTAACATCCTCTTGTTTTTTGTCTAGTAGTGAGATTGCCTAATTTATCAGATGGAATCTGGCTAGCAAAAATTCTTTTAGTGTTTAAGGAGATGCAGAACTTTATATATAACAGGCTAGAAGCTAGAAGAATTGATGCTAACTTTCTCTTTAAGTTTACTGTAAATTGTATACCTTTTTTTTTCTTTTTCTTGTAATAAAATTTTTGCCCTGTCTAAAAAGACAAGCAAACAAGAAAGTATTAGTTATAGAAACAATTTAACAAATGTAATACCTTTGTTAATGGTTGATTTATATTTGTGATTGTTGAATTCTTTGGATTTCTTTAAGATAAAAATAATATTTATTTGTATATGTTCTAAAATTTATCAAAAAAGAAGATTTTTGAGAATTTTAGATTTTTTTAAAAAGTTTTTTACTTATTTTTAAAAAAATTTCTTTGTTTAATATATTAGTTCCTATATTTAATATAAATTAAGAACAAGCTATAGCAAAAATCATTATTTGGAATAATTCTAATAAGAATTAGATGTGACTATTAATTGATATGTTTTAATATTGTCTTTAATAAATGTAAATACTATTTTTAAATTTAACTTTCAGTTAAACAATTATTATTATTATTATTTTTGCCTTTAATCAGACTACAATTGCTGGGTTTATTAATTATTGATTTTTATACAAATAAAATCATAGTACATTAAACCCTAAGATTTTATACTAAAGCTAAACTATGTATATTGCAGAACACTTGTCAACAAGTTAATTTTAGATTTGTATATAATCCTTGAATCTTTAATACCAAGACTACCATGTTGCTTACATGATTTAGCTATTTACTAACTATTTTACTACAAGGGAGTTGGTTCATTAAGCTATTACTATGTGATATTAACTATCTTAGACTTTCCAAATCTTAACTCTCTAAGCATAATTATAAGAAATAATAAAATTGCTTCTTTTTTAAGACTACCCCTTGGCCTTAAGAAAAATCATCACCAGTTATATTCAGGCTGTTACTTTTACACAAACCTGTGGTCCTAAAAGATAAAAAAAATTTTTTATTTTTAAAAGAAAAAAAAAAAGAATAAAAAGAGTAGATGAAAAGTTTGTTCTGGTAAATAAAAACCCTCCAATATTAACTTTGATCCATTAAAATAAATCATTTATTAC